ATGACAAGATAAGTAATCAATTACTACACAGTCCAAGAAAGTTTGATTACTTTGAGGTTTTTAATTTACTTTTCTCTAGCACAGTTGAGGTGCATACTTAGTGAATAATAAACCACCAGAATGAATTAGCCTTTTAGGACAGATGTTTGGTATTGGTGATGATGGACAACTTGAAGGTTGCAGTCAGCAAGAATGGGAAGAACTTCTCCGAATGTCTTCTCATTTGCAGAAGGAGTAGTCCTCCTGATGAAGAATTTCAGTAGCTGAGGTTGACTTTTTTCTGCTTTATCATCTATAAAGGTTTAAAGGTTTTATCTGTCTACTGAAAATAATTACAGGAATGTTCTTTTGTTGGCTTTAGTGGAGAACTTTATTCCCTTATGATACTGAGGGATGTTCTTTTCTCCTGTCTTTTAGGCACTGTAATGGAAACGAATTTTGAGCAGAAGATCTAAGTGTGCTTTTCTTTATTGTTTATGCCAGTTTTTAGTAGCTTGTGCTTTCATAAGTTTTTAGTATAAAAGACACAGAGAAAACACTTTTGAAAACTTAAAGTTTTCCACTGCAACCTCTCTTTTTGAGGTTATCTTTAAGACCATAATTTTCTTATCAACACATTACTAAGTTCTTTTCTTTTTTGAGAAATAAGATAATACTCTGCCCAAGTAAAACTCCTTTTTTTATAGGCTTGCATTTTGCTTTCTTTAACTAAACACCCATTGGGACGCTGAATAGATACAAACCTTCCCAGATGGTACTTAAGATCATTTGGTTTTCAGCTTTCTCAATTCTGTAATGATTTCACGTTCATGTTTAGCTCTGAAGAACTGCATTAATATTAAACTTTCTGTTTTAATTAATTAAATCACACTTACTATATAAAAATGGGCAAAGAATGTTCCTCTTTAACTTCAAGTACATTTAAAATATTGGCGTTTAGAAGAGCAAATGTTTCCAAAATAGGCAAGGAAGAAGATTACACTGCATCAATAGTTACCAGATGTTTGTCAGTCCCTTTGAATTTCTGAAGACATCAGCTCTGAGAAATATTTTTAATGTTGCTCCTCCCCCACCCCCATAGTTGCCAAAAGATGAGAAAGTATAGGTGTTTTCGAAACCTCTGTCTCTTCTTTGTCTATTTTTATGTAATTGTTTCTTTACCCAGCTGTAGTACTATTTTCTCTGTATAAAGGCTTTGCAAGACTTACTGTAAACATTGAATTAGTTGTTGTCCATAGATACCAGATTTAATGCTTGTTTTCTTTTTGTGAATTATCTATGGAATGTGCCTTTAGAATTACATCTCCTGAATTTGTACTTTCTGAAAAGATGACTCAGCATATAATGTATTTAGCACAAATAACACAAGAACACCTTTCAAGGGTGAAATTGAAGGTTTATCTGATCCTGCATCCTGTTTTGAGAGTGACCTCGTGGGTACTGAGGAAAAGCTATAAGAGCAAAACTAATGTAGAATGATATTTCCTGTACTGTATCATTCCAGAGTTTCGTTTTGTCACTTGCAGAGAGGATATCTGCACTCTCTGACCCTTGATGGGTATTTCTTCCATGATGTGTATGGCATTGGTCTTTCATAGTGTGTTGCACACTGAATAAAACAAATATAATAAAGCAACGATTTAAGAATGCCAAGTCAGGCACTCCAGGATAAGAAATGCCAGAAGCAACAAAACTACACAAATCACTTCATGCCTTTAACTAAATTTAAAGAATCTGCAAAAATCATCCTTTGTAGGTGTTTATATAGTGTGATCAAGACTTTCTTTTGTCGTCTTGACAAATGAGGAAGATTCTTGTTAAAAGACTAAACAGACATTCTTTCCAGATATCGGATCATTCTCATAGTCTTTTTGGAATCCTTTTCTTTTGTAGCATCTGTTTTGAAGAGAAGAGCGGAGCTGTGTGTTATTGTGTACTCTTAAGTTGGTGAGACTAGTATTGGCAGCAATATTATCTCTGTCTTCCTGTCTGATACAAGCCTTGGGTAGATAAAAGAGAATATTTTCATGCTTCTTTCCAACAGTGCTCTGAGAGCTCAGGTTCTTTTGCTAAGTAATTAGCTGCCTCGGAACGGTGATCATCAATTTTTGCCATAAAATGCAAAGTCCTCTAAGGTTTTTGCTAAGTAATTAGCTGCCTCAGAACTGTGATCATCAATTTTTGCCATAAAATGCAAAGTCCTCTAAGGTTCACTGGCTTTCCAGGATTTCATTGCTTGTTCAAGCAGTGGCAGTGTCTGAACATGCACTTACTTTGTGGAAATAACATCTGGAATTTGGCTGGGTTAAAATACATAGAGCTTTCTTAGAAGGTGCACGTGGTGTTTGTAAGCAAGTAATTTCCAACCTTAGTTATTATATAAAGGGCCCAAACATTCATGGGATGTTTGATCCGCAGTGACTTATGGCCTCCTATGCTGTTGGTAAAGATAATAAATTGCCTTAAACCAAGCATATGGGTTGCTTTAGAACTCTTTTTTTAGAAAGATTCTACAATCTGATATTTCTGCATTAAGAACATTTTAGGTCTGCTAATTAAATGGATTAAAATCAAGTTAGTATAGTTTTTGTACAGTATCTCTCCCTCACCCACAACCCCATAGCAGTATTTTTTGGGACAAAGTCCAAATGTCTTACCATTTCTTTTGGTACCCTTACCAAACCGTATAAAACCAGGAAATTTACATAATGTGGGTATGTGGCAGACTCTCCTCTTGTATCGATTTGATTTCCATGTAAAATTTCAGAATCTAGAATGTGAGGCTTAAAATCTTATGAGGAAAACATTTATTAAACATTTTAAAATTATCTTTAAAAGTCAGTACCTGAATCCATCGAGTATAGCATTAGGCAAAAAAAAAGGCATCCGAGAGCATTTTGTTGTGATTTTTCCAATTCATCAAATGAAAGTAGAGAGCGGTAGTAAAAGCTGTCAGATTGTTTTAACTGCAGATTTTGTTGCTACTTGCCTTGCTTACTGTGCTGTGACAGATAGTGTTTATAGTTTTCAAACAGTTCTGCAGTACTGTTTTTGCCAAGTGATAACTGTTTATTCTTGGACAAATGTGGGCTCCCTATATTCCATCTGAAATTTTTTTTTTTAGTTAATGGTATGATTCTTTTTTGGTGTGCCTGAGAACATCCTTCTGCACTCTCTGGCCTCCGACTTAAAAGCTCTCTTAAGCCAAGGAGCCTTGACTCTAACATTTCCTTAAATAGCACTTATGTCCCTTTTTCTATCCACAAAGACTGAACTGGTGTTTTCTTCTGTCACTGCTGAGCTTTTATTGGAAAGATATGTGACCTACCCTGGCACAGGCTTGTTCTCTGTGGTCTCTGACCCAAAGACAAACTAATAACATCTCCCACCCTTCTGCTGACAGTTTATACCTTTTGTATAATATCCTTTCCTTGATGGTTCTCTTGATGGAGAAGAGTGAATGCAATTGGAGTAAAGACCGAACAGGAGAATGTATGAAGAAGTAACAGAAGCTGAAGCTTTATGAAATGGCAACAGAGCGAGTGGAATAAAAATAGAGGAAATGGTTAACTTTCCTTATAGAAAACAGAAAGGACAGACCAGATGTGCTTAAGATGGATGAAAAGTTTTATCAGCATAGGAGGGGAAAAAAAAAAAAAAGACAAATATGACTGGAGTAGGAATCAAACCAAAGGCCTGTTAAGGTAGTAAATAATTTGATATAAATGGACACTTGAAAAATAATATGATGAGAATGTTCTATTTCAAATAAATGGAATACTTGTAGCCATAGCAGTTTATGTATAGGCTTATAACCTGCTGCTACCTAGGGACTTCTGTATGAGTAGCTCTTGGCAGTTTAGAGCTGCTCTACATAGTAACTTACCGCTCTGTTGTTTTGCTTTGACCCACACATTCCTCTCATCAGTTGGTTGTGAGTTGAATTCTGTCCAATTTTGGCATATTTCTGAAATTTAGTTGGACTGTTGTTTTTTATATAATGGAGGACTCTGCACTATTTTCCTATCAATCTGCACTGTAAACGTAAATGAAGAAGTAATATATGTGTTACAATAGTTATGGACTTAGATAATGTAGATAAGCTAACTCATCATTACTACTTTTTCAACAGGACTTAAACACATTGTCTTGTTTGGTTACTAATGCTTTTTTGGGTAATTTTTTTTTTTTTTCATGAATGTCCTCAAGTGGCTAACTTTGCCAAAAGTAGAAACTGACATTTTCTTTTACAAAAATAAAGTGAACAAGAAGATGCTTTAAGAATAAAATAGAAGAATTCTTATTTCTTTGCCAACCACGTATCTTGAGTAATTACTAACTCGGCTACATTTGATACAGTTGTTAAATGCATTGAAGAGTGAATACTAGGTAGGATCTTACAGGATCAGTCTAATTGTATTTTTTATTTTGCACCTAAAAACTGCTTCTATAAATGAAAGAACTCCTGTTTTTGTGCTTTTCTTTCAGCGATGCCTCGCTGACCTCTTAGAAAAGTAGCCTTTACTGAACACGCAAGTAGGAGTTGTTTGGGATCAAGGCACCTACCTTTTTCTAGCCTTTACACTTGCAGGATGTGCAAAGGAGACTCAGTTGTTACCAGGTGTTAAGACTTGCCTATTGGTAAAGGATGAATGCAAGTAGCTAGATCTTGTACTGTAAGCTTTGATCAGTGATTACTACTGAAATATTTGTAATCTAGGGAAGAAAAGATCCACTGATCTGAACCTGTGTTTTAGTCCCAGGTGTCTAGGGCTCTAGGTGTAGTTTTGAAATCAGCTCAAGTGGAGATAGTGGCATGTCACTTAACTGGTTTGCCTTTTCTTTTCCCTTTGAAAAGTGAGGATTTTTGTCTGCCCTTTGGGCTGCTTGTAAGGAAGCAAATGTAAATTTTCATTGGTTATTGAAAACATCAACAAAAAATTGTATTTTTTGCATGTTTGCTTGTGGTTGCTCCATTTTTTTTTTTTCCCCTTGATCAGATACAAAGAAGGTGGTGAAGCTTTGTTAGTATTGCTTCCCTCAGAAGAAAAAGGCATGGTGGAACAGCTGGCACAGAGGAAAGTACCTGTCAGTGAAATCAAGTAAGTGCGTAATGGCTTGTCTGTTATTCAGCCTCCTTTCTACAGGAATAATGTGTGATGGGTCTGTGACAATCCTGATAAGGTGCTTGAATTGCCTGGAGCTGGACAAACAAAGGAGATAATTTGATTTTGATAGTGTTGTAGAAGGAAAAGACCTTGAGAGGTTACCTATTCCATCCCCTTTCCCAAAGGCAGGATCAGCTGCACAAATCATTCTTATCAGATGCTTGCCTAACTTGCCAATTAATATCTTCACAATTTCCCAAAGTGATCTCATCTTTACTCAACAGTTCCTGCCATTAAGGTTTTTTGCTTCAAGTGTCTGATAAGCCTTGTAAGTAATTAAGTGAAATATTTCTTTTGTCCTGTGCCAAGAATATATAGAAAATTATGTATTCTCTTACTCTTTGCAAGTACTTTTTATGTAATTGAACATTATCATGCTATCTCTTTCTCTTCTTTTCTTTTGCAGATTAAACAATTACCGTTTCTTTAATCTGTCCTTGTATATTTTTATACCTTTTATCATTCATGTTTCTCTTACCTGTCTTTTCTTTAGTTCTAGACTGTTTCTCCAATTTGTCATGATCTTTCTGAGTCAGTTAGTTCAAGAACAGGAATAAAAGATGTGGCTAAATGGTCAGTTTACATATCAGAAGAGACTATTCCAGTGAAGACCTGCAGAGTTCTATGCTATCTGTATAAAAGGGAACTGACTTTGAAAGAGTTGCAGAAGCATATAATGATACCATGTAAAAAGAAAAAAGCACTTATATTTCCAGTTTCTATTAAATGCAGAGTAATGGACATGTAGGAAGGACAAAACCCCAACTCTAAAAATAATAGAAAAAACCCACACCACTAAAAAGCATCGGTGGTAATTTCTTAATTAGCAGCTATAGGTAGGGAGGAGTTCATTGTTCTTTAAGCCTTTCAATCTAATGCTAAATCAAAAGAGGAAACAGAATGTGAAAGAAATAGGGAAGAAGACTTGAAAGCAAGCTAGAAAATCTGGTATGAGCCTGACTTCATTTTGAATGCTTATATAGTTCAGGTTACACCATGCCAAAAATTGTAGAGTGGAGCTAGAAGAAGTCCAGAGAAGGATGACAAGGTAGAGAATTAAGTTCCTGTACAAGTGGGTATGAGCAAGGCTAAGACCCTTTTACTTTGAAAAGCTGTGGTTTGAATGTGAAGATATGGATATCTAAGCAAAGAAGACAATTAACTGTAGGCAGAAAGTGTTTGTGGAATAATTATTTTGAGAAGAAATCAAAGTAGGGTGAAACTTTAAGTGGGTATTATTACCTCATTGCTTAAATGTCTGCTCAAAATTAGCTATACTGTATTCTTTGAATTCTAGTGTAATGAAGGGTGGTAAGAAATTGCCACTACTACTGTTAGCTGTGTTTTGTTACACTTTTCATATACTTTTATGTCAAAACTTGAGTTAAGGAATAAAGTGAACACATACTTTGGGACTTGTCATTATTAAAGTCTACTAAATGAGAATCTTTTTCAGTTCATTAGCTTTTTCTGTTGTAAATTCAATAATAGGGTGCATTGAAGTAAGTCAGGATAGCCTGGTCAATTACAATTTGATATGATGGTGACTTCTAAAAAACTTCTTATTTTTTTTTTTTTACAAATGAAAAGGAAGGCTTGTGTGATCAGCTATAGTGAAGGGGAAAGAAGCAAGAGCTTGGAATGATAACCACAAAATAGTGTCAGTTCCTACTGAATCTTACTCTTTTATGAGTGCTCCAGTGTTCAGCTTCACTAGGCTGATTTTTCTGTTTGGCTTCTCTTGAGGATTGCCATTTTGGTACCATAGTTGGATGTCATCACTCCAAACATGCCACGCCTGGACACAAGTTGTCATTTCTGTAGAGAATAGAAACATGCATATAGCACTTGCCAGACTTAAAGTTTAGTTTTATTTTTTTGAAGTATTTTTGATGTATGGGATATGCCATTTCAGAGGTGCTTGTGAACAGCACTTGTGAATCCTGCTTCTGTATAACAAACTGAGTACACAGCAGCCAGTAAAGAAAATACACCTTTTCTAGTCAAACATGGGTATCAATTCTGTGTAGAACATGCATGAACTTCAAAAATAAGACTACTTTTGCTAAAATAGGGAAAGTAAGGACTAGAATGGAGTCAAACAACGACCAAAAGTCTTAATTGTACTTAAAGCTTTCTTTTGACGTTGCTGTTTAAAAAAACCCCACAGCACAACAAAAACCAACCAACCAAACAAACAAAAAACCTCCCAACTGAATGTGGACAGTATCAGGAAGGAAAGTAAATTAAAGTCTGATATTTTCTTTTCCTTTAAGCATCATAGCGCTTTAAAAGGATCTGCTTTATAACCGCCACAGCCTGAGCAAATTGTCTCTTTTTCCAAACTTCATCATCATCTTGTTAAAATGATAGTTATTCAAATCATTTATCTTGTTTTGATAGTCACTAAATAAATGTCTGATCTCATGCATATTATAAATATTTCACCTTTTTTGACAGCTAAGCTTTTAACTTCTTGAGTAATGCAGTTAATTGCTTGTACAGCTTATCATGGAACATGGTAAAAAAGCCTCTTTAGCCTGTATTTATTAATGCAAATTCAAATCTGTATTTTTGTACCAGAATAACAATTCAATTTTAATAAGGCAAATATTTCATTTCCCCCCCAATAAATGCATCTTCTATTTATAATCCAAGTTAGATGTGTCTCTGGAGAGACATCTATGGCTGCATCTCTTAACACATTCTTGCTAATCTGATGTTACATCAATGGAAAACTCTGCTAATTTTTTTTAAACACCACCCCAAAAGTTCATTCTTTTACCAAGCCACTAGGACATATGTATAATAAATACATTTAAGTAACATTCTTAACTGAAATAATTATAAGCAAATTCAGGGGTTTTGATTGATAATCTATTTTAACAGCCTGACCCGAGATCCAGTTTTTCAGTCTGCAAAACATACCTTGTAACGAAGCTTTTACTTAGAATTGTCTGCCTAGTGTGGTTAAGACTTAAATGGTTTAGCATTGTACTTCTAAGATGCTAACTAAAATCCTCAAAAAAATATTCTTGTCACCACTTGTGGATTGCAAACCAGTTTTATCCTGAAAGATTTTAACTACAAATTTTCTTAGGTTGTTTACTTCTACCCAGTTTCCCAATTAATACAGACCTAGTGTGTTTTGTCAATTGATAAATTGTTGAAGAAGTTCCGTCAACCCATGGATCATGTTCCAGGTCTTCTGTTGAAGTCTTCTGGTGTTGTTTGTGCATATTCACCTAATTATATATTTTCAAGAATTGATTTAACTTGTGAGTTAGAAGGTAATGAGCATTGCTCACTGCCAGGAGAGTTTAACTCTTCAAACTTCTGAAATTCATTCTGAAAGCTTCTTGTTTCTAAAACATCGCTGTCAATTAAAGTGTTTATTTTGCTGTTCTTGTTAAGCTGTTATCTTGCACAGGGATTGCAAGAACCAGTTTTCTGTTACTTTCCTTGGCTAGTATTTTCTGCCTTACAAACAGCTCTTAACATTCCTTTATTTTATTTAGAGCTTTTAAAATAGTTCAATAATTTGAAAGGAGAGAGGGGAATAACTTTTTTATTTTCCTGAATACCTATTCAAAAGGGTAAGGTTTGGGCTGTTTTCTCAATTTGCAATTTTAAATCTAAGGTCCTTGTAGAGCCTGTTATGGTATACCATACCTTCTAATGAGCACAAGCTGCCAATTTACAGGTAGTGCTTTTAACAATACATCTCTTTTTCATTGTTCAAACAGAGCAAGAGAAAATGCAAAATATGCAATAATAAATATTGTATTTTGGAGCATTCAAATATGGCAAAAAGCTACTCTGAAAGTATTAAATATTATGTACATATTTATACGGAGTCTGTAATTTCAAAGTTTTAGATACAAGCTGTAAACTGAATTTATTTTTAATACCTTGAGACTATTTCATTGTATCCAATGTTGTTGAGTAACAAGATAAGAGCTGCTTCCTGAGGGGCTATCATAACAAATTTTGTGTCTAAAAATTTTACTAAAGGAAGTGCAAGTATGTAGATACCCATGATGTAATACTGCTTTCTTTAATGTTATGGCAAAAATGTGATTCTTGAAGAAAACAACAATAACAACAAAACACCTTTTTTTTTCCTTTTTTTTTTTTTTTTTTCCCCTGACAGCAGAGAATACTTGAATATGTATTCCACATGACAGTAATATTAATACTAGGGAATCTACTAAAACCTGCTGCCTCCCAGTTATCATCCTTACTGTAGGACAATCCATTGGTGTCACTAAACAGCATGGTTGTGCACCTGTACGTGATCTGCTGGTGTGAGGCTGGCAACTCTGAGCAGCCTTCCTTGGATCCAGGTCTTCCTCTTCTCTCCAGCCTTTCAGGGTGTCCAGTGTAACCATAGGGAGCCACGTTCCAGGCTGAGAGCACAGAGCAAAACCTGCTGCTGCTTGGAGGCTGGCTGGAATATGGAAACTTTTGCTACATCATGGCAGCATGGTCTTTTTGGTGGTTGTTGAGCTTTTTTGTTTAAATTCCGCTTTGCAGAGGATGGGGAAGAGAGAGTATCTAGTTAAAGCAGTGCTTGTATCCTGGTGTTAAAAACAGGGGAAATGAGTGGAAAGCTGAGTGCATATCGACCAGGAAATTTGGAGAGTAATGTCTAATCAGTTCATAAGACCAAACAAGCAGAGTTCATATTTATATCATGGCACAGTCAAGTGTGGCCATTTATGCAACTGCTAGGCAAAAAAACAGTTTCAAAAAGTTATATTGCTCCTTAAATGCAAGATTTGTTCTCACAGAATAAGAAAGGAAAGAAATGGCCTAGTTAAAATGAGAGACAATGTCATAAAATCCCCCTCTAGTTTTTGCGTAGTTCATTCTAGCTCACTGGTTCTTAGCTGTGTAGGCAAGCTTAAATTACGATAATTCACTTAAGTGTTTGGATTTTAGGTTTGTCTTTCCAAATAGTCACATGTCCATAACTATTCTAAAGAGTTTTATTTGTTCAGAAAGAAATAACATGCAAACTCATTAAAACCAAAGTCTAATTTAACAATGACCAGCTTTCTTATTTTTGGAATCCCAGCATGAGACGAAGACGACAGTGGGAGGTTCTCGTGATACAGAGTTGGAGAAGAGAGAATCCAGTATTATGACTTTTTTTTTAAATATTCAGTGTTGTAAATTTACTCATTCATTAACAAACATATAACCTCAAAATGTGCTTGGGGCACCATATTCTTGGTTGACATTGCTTAGACTTATACCACAGTATCTTGCCTTGCTTTTAATTGTAAAGCATCTTGTGTTTTCTGTCTTTTTCAAACCCTTTGCTTGCAAATTTCAATCAAATTACTTGAACTAAAATTTATATGCCATCAACAAAATGTTGTTACATCTTATCTAAGATTATTGTCCGTTATGCTTGGAGCCCCAATGATGTATTGTCTCCTGTAAATAATGGATCATATTCCTGCAATAATCAAGTCAGAAAATAATGAGTAATAGTTGGCCCAGGTGAGAACTGGAACTTGGTATGCATTCTGAGTTTGACAGTGACTACAGAGAGTAGTTGACAGTCCCAACAACTCTTTGAGTACAGCTCCAAGGCCAGTTTTGCATTTACTTAAAGATTTAACCTAGACCATGTTTCCCTAGCTTATGAGAATGTGCAACTGCCAGATGCTTCGCTCACATCAAATATGACATCTGCTGTTTCTTTCCTATTCTTAAAGCCTGCTAATGCTGTTACGGAGGATAATCAAACTGATCAGTCATGTTTGCTTGTAAGCTATGTTAGCTATTGTGCGTTTGCTTGTTTTCTTTAGGTGCTTACAAATTGGTTTTTTTGGTATTAAGAAAAAAGTTAAATGATTAACTTCTCTTTTTTTGCCTCCTTTGAAGATGAGCACTATGTTTACCTGCCCTGTCCGATAGGTTCTTATCTATCTCGGACAAGTTCTCAAGAATAAATGCAACTATAACTCAAAGTGCTCCGACTTTCTCTCTAGTTGCTATGGAGCAAATTTCTTCTGACCCAGCTGATTTATCTAAGTACCTGTTATCCTGTGATTTGTGATTCAGGTGTGAGCTTGGACTGTGCTGTAGCTGTTAGCTGTCTGATTGCAGCTGCCATTTTGAGTGAAGATGAGGGAATAAAGACACTGGCTAATTTAAGTGCCTTGAGGTCATCTCTTAATAGCTTTTCCATAACTTAACAGCAATCCAACACTTCTCTGGGCTGTTATAGTACTGGTGTTCATGTTAATAATTTAGTTCTCTTGTTATTCATGCTGTCCCTTTACTTTTTGTATCTCAGTTTGTGCTTGTAGTTCTTACTTTATTCCAGTGTATTTGTGCTGTTTTTCTACTTGTCTTCAGTTCTACTTTAAGCTTTCTTCTTGACTTTCAGGTCATTGTAAACATGTTGCTTTCACCTAGCCAGCCTTTTTACTCTTCCTCCTGTCTTTCCTCTGCAGTGAAGTAGTATACTTTGTGTTTGTACTTTCTAATACAGTTCAGCATTAAGCAAACCACTGCTTTTATTTTGCTATTGTACCATTTTTCCTTTGTTAGCATCATAAATATTTTCATTTTCACATTTCTCAGTCTTGTTTTATAGAATAAAATCTAGAAGACCCTTCTCTTTATTTGCCTTTTCTATCTTTGGCATCTTGTGTGCATGCCATCCTGCAATGCGTTTCAAAGACTTGTTCGTCAGTTTGTGTCCCACTGAATTTTTCATGCCTCTTCTTTTCTCTCTTGTGTCTTTACACTTTCAGAGTAAATAATTTGCTGGCTTGAAACTGGAACTCAGCTTTTTGATCTTTCACTAAAACTGTAGCTAAATAGCTCTTGTGTTCACTATAGTCTTCCACTGGCTGTATCTGACAGAGATGAGAAATTGAAATGGTGAGGGAATAAAGCTTGGTGTCTTTATAAATTAAAGTATTCTTTGGTAATACCCTCCAACCCCTTGCTTAATTGCTGCTTTCATATTTAGTAACTGATGTTCATAATGGCTTATGTTACAAAAAATGACTATAAAATGTTTTTTAATCAGTCATGTTTTCTAGACTGACAGTGTTATGTGAAGAAGCATGATTTTGATTTTTTTTTTTCTTCTCCTTCCCTCTTTGACTTCCTTCAGCAAAGACTATATTTTGTTATACAGTATGGGATGACATGGCACAGAGCAGCAAGAACCACATTAAGAGATCTGGTAGTTGTGCATCTCTTTTGACCTCTACTTGAGGGGTACCCTCCTACCCTGTTCGGTAGGTTGTATGATACACTTGGGTGGCACTAGTAGATCAAGACCAGAAGTAGATGAGATCTGGGCAAATAAACCTGGAATAGTGTAGGTATTACTGGAGTAAGTGTGAAAATCCAGAGTCTGGGAGAGGACTTGCATAACTTCTTATTAGGTTTAATGGCATTTTCTATAATACAGTCACTGTTCTTTATTCACCTGATCAATGTCTTGAGGAGCTTTTAAATCTGTTTAATCTCAATGTCCTTTATTTTTGCTCATCTGGCTGTAAGGAAGAAGTACTTAAATTTCAGTATTCCCAGGGCAATGGATCTTATTTAAGCTTTCAAAAATGCTGAGAATTTCCTTATGAAGACTCCTATCTCAGTATAAAGTAGTACTATAATTCATTATGCTTCTTCTATATTTTTTCCTCAGTATTTTTATAAATTCAAGACGTTCTTTGATGCTGATTTTAGCTTTGCTTTGGATGAAGTTTCACCACCTTCACTGAAAACTGTCTCTGGATAAAAAGTCTGAGCTCCCATTTGTCTTTTCTGTATTATTCGTTTGAGGAGTGTATGCTTCATCCTTAATATGGTTCCATTCTAAGCTTGTTCAGAGTGGCAATAGCTTTATGCATATGAAAGCAGTGCAAAAGACCTGATGATACTCCTGAGAACTCAATAGGTCGTTATTTTTGCATGTTGTAATAATTAAAGCTAACTTTCTTTTTTTTTTTTTTTTTAAATTAGAATTAATCCTGAAAAACTTACAGATATCCAAAAGAGGATGCAAGCTTTCTTAGCTCAAGATCAGGAGTTAAAAGACAAAGCTCAAAGGGTAAGTCATCTGCTGCACTATAGTTCTTGAGGCACGCTGGTCAAATAGAACTGCTGTTGGAATAACTGACCTGCTCATATGTGCCCTAGCAGCAGTGTTTGGAACTGCTAAATTATTCTGCTTTTTAAGCTTTAAAACATGGCATCAGTAGAAACAATAATCCTGTATGAGCAGTTGGTGGTAAGTATGTGTTGTGGTTTAACCCCAACCAGCAACTAAGCACCATGCAGCCGCTCACTCACTCCCCCTACCCTGATGGGATGGGGGAGAGAATTGAAAGAGTAAGAGTGAGGAAGAACTCCTGGGTTGAGATAAGAACAGTTTAATAACTGAAATGAAATAAAGTAAAATAGTAGTAGTAGTAGTAATAATACTACTAGTAATAATAATATACAAAGCAAGTGATGCACAATGCAATTGCTCACCACCTTCCAAACGATACCCAGCCAGTTCCCGAGCAGTGATCGCTGCCCCCCAGACAACTCCCCCCAGTTTATATACTGAGCATGACATCATATTACCATATGGAATAGCCCTTTGGTCAGCTTGGATCAACTATTCTGGCTGTGCCCCCTCCCAGCTTCTTGTGCACCTGGCAGAGCATGGGAAGCTGAAAAGTCCTTGAGTAGCATAAGCACTACTTAGCAACAACTAAACCATCAGTGTGTTATCAACATTGTTCTCCTACTAAATCCAAAACACAGCACTATGCCAGCTACTAGAAGGCAAATTAACTCTATCCCAGCCGAAACCAGGACAGTATGCCTGTTAAGGCATAGGTGGGGACATATTTATTTTAGAGTCTCAGGTATGCAAGTAACTTTTGATTTAGTAGTCACTGCTTCTCAGCTGTTTGAAGGTTTTTACTGTTTTGTTTGAGTATTTCCCAGCTGTTTGAGTCCTGAACCTGGGGAGGAGTAACCCCATACACCAGTACAGGCTGGGACCAAATGGCTGCAAAGCAACTTTGCAGAGAAAGACCTGGGGCAACAGGTTGTCCTAATGGACAACAGGCTGAACATGAGCCAACAGTGTGCCTTTGCAACAAAGAAGGCCAACCACATGCTGGGTGGCATTAGGCAGAGCGTTGCTGGCAGGTAAAGGGAGGTGATCCTTCCCCTCTGCTCAGCCCTGGTGAAAGACATCTGGAGTGCAAAGCTTGATTCTGGGCCTCCAGTACAAGAGAGAGGTAGACATATTGGAGACAAGACCAATGAAGAACCGCAAAGATGACTGAGCACTTGGAGTATCTCCTGTATTAGGAGAGAAGTATAAATTAGATGGAGCCAGAGTCTTCTGAGTGGTGCCCAGTGACAGGAGAGGAGGTGATGGGCACAAATTTATATACAAGAAACCTCCATTTAAACCCAAGAAAAAACCCTGTTATTGTGAGGGTGGTTGAACACTAGAACAGGCTGTGTAGTCTCCGTTGTTGGATATTAAAAACTGTGTGTGTCCCTGAGCAGCCTGCTCTAGCTGACCTGGCTTTGAGCAAGGGTTTGGACTACATGATCTCTGGAGGTTCCTTTCAACTATTTTGTGATTCTGTAAAGCATAAAGCTGTTAAATCAGTACAAATATATCTTTTTTTCATCATGTATCCTTGGTAGCATGATGGAGAATAGGACTGTGTACCCTTTTCAGTTCAGTAACCCTTTTTATTGAAGGGGATAGGTAAACTGGTAGTTCCTCCTGAGAGGACTTTTTTGGGGGAGCTGATATAGAACATTTTGAAATAATAATAATAAAAAAAGGTTACTGAAAAGGAGCAGATCTCATTCCTTGGCTTAAGAAGGTAGAAATATGAAACCATGTAGGCCTCGCATGTCCACTTTCTTAACCAATTTTTAGTGTTGTATCTCCTGAATATATACGACAGTTTATCCTTTCTCAGTGGTAAAATCCAATGCATTGAATAAAGCATTTTAACTTTCATTTGGATTTAAACGAGAAGCAAAATATCTTAGAATAGGTCTTCCAGGTAAAATGGAGAAGTGTGTGAATGGGACTATGAATGGGATTTCTTTGTTGTGCTGATTAATATTGGGAGGCTTCATGAACAATATGTGAGTTTCCCAAAGCATTCTATGATTCTATGATTCACCAATATTTTAGCAGGTTTGGGCAAGGTAGGAAAACTTAATATAACTAGGTAGGTTCTTGGACTAGAATGAGCTGGCTGCAAAAGACACTTTCCATGGAAGATGGCCTGTGAAACATTTCTGGGCATTGCACTACCTCTTGCCATCACTGGATACGTTTGCTGACCTTTCCCTGGATTTATAATATTTTTAGACTGTGAACTCTTTGGTATAGAGCTTACTACTTGTGTTATTGAAGTGCTTCAGTGTGTTGGCTTTCTGAGGTTGGTTGGTTGGTTTGTTTTTCAACTGTGGATGTCATGGACCTATGAATTCTGTAGTTGTACCAAGTGTCTTCCAAACTGTGCAAAATCAGGAGTTCAAATTAGGATGCAGGGAAACAAGATGATTACAAGAAAAGTAAGAAAATCTTTTGGGTCATTTTTTTGTTATATGTGTAGGTCAAATTTAAAGAGCACTACCAAAGGCCAAATGATCAGAAATCTGGAAATGCCAAAGTCTGAGAAATACAAGATTGCAGAAATTCTGGATTTGTGTAAATAACTTTTTATTTGGCTGAGCTAGTGTGTGGATTGATGACACCTGAAGATGTTCTGGTAAACGTAAGTGGTAGGTAAAATGAAAAGGGGATTGTGAATGCTTAAAGAGAGACTAAGGGTTGTAGCCTTGTTGTTGAACTGGGATGTAAAATGAAGCAAGTTGCAGTATTTGAAACTCTTCAAGTTGAGGTTCATCTCACCTAACTTTAGATGTCCTATATGAACTAGTCTGCCTGAGCTTTCATTTATAGCTGACAGAGAGGAATAGGCACTTCTAGGATGCATCCTGACATAGGTACCTTAACCCTTTGGGATAGATGAATGGCCCTTTCTTTGCACTGCGAAGGTAACCTGTGTGACATGACCTAGCTTGGATGCCTGCAGTAGAGACACTGGGTCAGAGGAATGTCATTCTTCCTTTCCTAAACAAGGAGTCTGAAATCAAAATGCCTGAAGAAGTCATTGGGAGCTTTGTGAATAAAATGTCTAAGGCAATGTTCAAGGGACTACTTTGAAAACTCTTTTTGGCATTTAGGTATCCCAGGTTTTTGTAGTGCACAAAGTATTACTTGTAGCATGTGGAATGTCAGTGTAAGCTTCATCCTGACGTTGCACAGGCCAGATGTACTGGTTACGTACTATGATCATCTGCAGCTGCCACAGGAAGTTGCAGTTATACCAATTTGTATCAGAAGTGATAGAGCAGCTGGTTGGGGGAGGATGATAATGGGAAGAAGCCAGCATCATCTTGGAATGGAAATACTGACAACCCCCTGGGTTTCTGGCTTTGGCTTTTTAAGATCTCTTAAAAGGCAGAGAGAGATCATTCTGTATTGGGCAAAAGAAAATAATGATAAAGTTTCAAAATAGCACGAGGATGAAATCAAACATGGGTGTGTCAGTGTTACAGATAAAAACTTAAATTAATTTTGAAAAATTTCTAATTGCCATTTAATTATGCTTTCAAGACATTTTTGGTGCAATTTCTCACTTATGGGTGGCACTGCAGTATCATCTTGCAGGCAAACTGTATATACATTCAGTTTCTGAAAATCTTGAAGTATGGACAAGTGGTTTATCATAGAAGTGTCCCTCCTTAATAAGATTTAAGTATGAGTGTTCAGACATACTGTGCAAATGTGTCCCAGTAGTCTTACATATCAATGTGAATAAAACAATAAAAATAATGCAGATGAAATCCTAACCTTGGCTCCTTATCTGGAATGCTGGATTTCTCAAAGGCACGGGCGTTGTGCTGTCTAGCTTGTCTGTTGCAAGCTGCCAAATTGTTGACATTTGTGAGAAATAAATTCCCTGCCTGAATGGATCAGATAGCAGTGAAATAGCATAGCTATGCACAGAAGTTCAGGTAGGATGTAATTTACTGTGTTGAGGGCATGAGGTCTAAGTGATTGCATCCTCTAAGCTTGTTGATTTACTTCAAGATGCTTTTACTTTGTTTAAAAAAAAAAAGGAAAAAGAAAATTCTTGATTACTAATTGCTTCAACAAACTTCGTGGTTCATTTGATAGGACATGGTTCCTCTACTGTTGCTTGGAAAGAGAGAGGGTGAATCAGATTGGGGCTTCTTTGAAACCTTTGCAGTTCCTCTCAAGGACTGATGCTGCCTTTTGGCATTTCTTGTAATTTTAATATTTAATATGTCAATTCATCCAGTTCTGAAAAACAGCTTCAAAAAGAATGTGTTTTTCTTGCTAGTTTGAATGTTACTGTGTAGGGGGTACTGGGACACTGACGCTGAAGTGATGTCTGTCCATTAAATTCTTTGTTGCACCCAGAGGGATGTGCAGAGTGTTACAGTGTGAGATTCCAGTCATGCCCTGTTACTTTGAATCATATCAAAATAGCATATGAATTGAATTGTGTGTGTTGTAATATTTAAAATGATTATCCAAGAAATACATCAATAAATCAAAATTCAAATGTAGCAAAGTAGTAAAGCACAGTACTTGTTATCTTATGTATTTCTAGTACAGTAATCTCAGGTGGGTTTGGGGGCCTTCAGCTACTATTGTAATAGAGCTGTAATATGTTTCTGATGCCCAACTGTAACATCTTCCATAATGGTATAAGTTAATTCATATAATATTTTTGTAACATTCAGTTATTTAAAAAAAAACCTTGAAAGTGATACCAAAACAGCAAAAATAGCAGTGGACAACAGCAATTGATAAAAGAGAAGGAAAAAAGTTCAGACTGACTAAACTTGTTCTCCCTCAGCTGTCCAGTGTGTGTGCGCAGAGTGACTTGATTCTTAGGAGAATTGAATAAAATCCAAGAGAGATGACAGTATTTTAGGAGGAGGTTGAAGTGAAGGTACTGAAATCAAATAAAAATCAAAGAAGTAATTTTCTCTTTTTGTACTTCATTTCTCTTCTTGTAAAGTAGAACAACTCTTCTATGCTGTATCTAACTTTTCTAGTTTGGGTGTAAGCTCTTGGAGTAGGGAATATCTTTTGCTGGAAGTGTTAACAATGCCTAAAATAATAGAGAATAAGGTCAACTGAAGACTTTAATAGTCATTATATTACTATTGAATGATCTTTGAAGCCTCTTACCTTAATTAGGTCCATTTCTTTGAACACAGAGCAATACCATCCTGCATTCAGTCCATGACAAACTTGAAAAATTGTTTTGAGACTCAGTGGGCTGAACCCTGTTGACAGCTGATAGATGAGAGTTAGAACGCTTCGCATTTGTTTCGTGTTTCATTCTTAGTTATTGCAGGACTTGGTACATGTGCAAAAGGTGTGTTCGTTCTGCCCCTTATCTGTCATTTATTAATTTCTAGACCATGTGTACCCAAGAAATACTAGTAAAGTAAGTGGATGGCTTTATAGGTTATCCAAAAGGCAAAATGAGATTTCTACCTTGTGGCATGTAGTGATTCATGTTGATCTTCAGATCTGTAGATGTTGCAACTCACAGATTCACAGGAAAGATAATTCTTCTTTAACCTGCTGTTTTCCATCTGCCACTACAGAGAAAGAAGAGGCTCTGTCATTTGTTTTTGTCACTGCTTGCTAGACAGCAATAGATTAATGAGATCTGTCAAATTTGAAGCCTTTTCCTAAAGTTTCTAGATATGTTTGTAAAATGATTAATAATTTGAGCAAACAAGTGTTTTATGCCACACCTCATTCTTGGTAGCAGCTGAATGGATTGTGCTAGCACCTTCCACTGCTAAAATTAATTGAAAGACATAATCTGGACAGGAAACTTTAATCCAAAACTTAGCATTTGGAAAGATAAACAAATGAAAGTTTACTTCTGTAACGAGGTGTTGGGCAGCTTGAAAAGTATCTCTCTTAGCTCTACATATGTTACAATTAATATTTGTTATTTCGGTTTGCCAAGGGGAAAAGGATGACTTTATGGCATTGCCTAATTTACTGTCTCATCTTTCTTTTCACCTTTGGAAATGTTTTTTTGTCTTATAAATATTTAAAGAATTCCCATAAGAGATTGATGCTCCTAACTGTTGGGTGTTTTCCTCCTCTATTTCAGGTTAACAAGAAATAGATTTTTTTTTTTAAAATTCCACATGAATTATTAATACAATAATTTTCTCTGACAGGTGCCTGTACATAGCAGAACAAGGGTGTGATTGTAGTATGCTTGAATATAACCCTATAAGCTTAATGTGCTAGTGTTACTACTGTTTGCTGGTTTAAGACTTGTGATAGGAGTTTTGGCATGTATTAGAAATGAGGTTACAAAAACCAGAACTCCAAGGATCTTTTTTGATACTTAAAATATTCCCATATTTGTGCTGCTGCTGATAGGCAGAAATAGACTATGAAAAGAAACATGAGAAGAATAAGAATCTTTCCTTTTGGGAAGGATGGAGGGAAGATACAACACAAGATTAAGTTATTCTGTTATGCAGTGCTTCCAGCTTTCTTTGTGAAAGTCTGGGATTAATTGAAACTTCAACCTTGGACTGGTCTTAATAAATATTGTATAGTGAGTTTACGTTGGTCGGCTGAGTTGCATTCGCTGACTGCATGTATGTGATGAGCTGATCGCAAATGCAAGGTAATAAGAATTATCTAAGGCCACAGTGAAAGGCAACTACATTGAGTTCAGTCACTTTCTGTTAGTAGCTAACAGATTGTCAGGACACCTCAGATTGATAGCAACACAGTCGGTTCTTGCTTCCACATAACTCAGATGTCAGAATAGCATAGCAACATTCAGAAAAGCTGGGAGAAAAAAAAAAATTGAATCAGTGATGTTTCCTCCTGACTAATTTGCCATATTTTCTTTCTAGCGAAAATAACACGACATACCTTTCAGAAATTCAGCCAATTAATGTGCATTTAATGAAATAGTCGAATACTTGAAGTTGCATTACTTCTGCAGTACTGATAAATTTTGGCTGATGGGTATTGGGTAAAAAAATTTCAGTCTGAAATCAATGTTAGACCACTTAATAGTGGAATTCTATTTTGTATTTAGAGGAACAGTATAATAGTTTCATGTGTTGGTAATTGAATGGTTTATTTTTTTGTAAAATACTTTTATTTTTCTTACAGTGTTTTGTATCCTACTTGCGTTCAGTTTACTTAATGAAGAATAAGGAAGTATTTGATGTTTTCAAATTGCCTCTAGCAGAATATGCCCTGTAAGTATGATTAACTTGGAAAGTGAAAACTGTATAGTGAGAAGTTTCACAGTGTATGATAGCTTTAAATAGCTGTTTTGACTATGTTAACACACAAAATTAGACAGTCTTGTAATGTATTTACAGTTTCACATTTATGCTGTGCTTTTGCCTATTTTCAAAGACAGTCTAAATAGAAGTTATGTGTAAAAACAATGTATCTCTACAAAGAGAAATAACTTATAGCAGAAGGTATATATGCTATATAGAATAGAAGACAAAACTTGTAAGTAAAAGGATAGAGAACAATAGGTTTTTGGATATTTTATTTTTTTCAGATTCACCCTTCAGCTTCATAGCTAATTGTAACCTGTAAAGTGTATTATTTAAAAAGAAACTGGAGTATCTAAAGATGATACATTGCAGTCTCATTTTGAGTGTGATTGGGACATTGCTCCTTGGACATAAATTACTTTTCAGAATAGAATCATAGAATCATAGAATCGATTAGGTTGGAAAAGACCTTTAACATCATCCAGTCCAACCATTAACCTACGCTACCAAGTCTACTCTAAGCCAGTCAAGGGTAGACTAGACTAAACCATGTCCCGAAGTGCCACATCTACCCGTTTTTTGAACACTTCCAGGGATGGTGACTCCACCACCTCTCTGGGCAGCCTGTTCCAATGCTTGACCACCCTTTCACCCTTTCAGAAGATTCAGTGCACTTGGTAAAGATGAAACATCTGCACTGGACTGAATAGTATCTATTTTACTATGTCTATTTTTGTACATATATGTGAACCATTCCACATTTTGTATGGGAGGGAAATTAATTTTGACAGGTTGACTTTTTACAGATGACAACCGTCTGAGATTGTTTTAAGACGGGAAGCTTTTGAATAATCTCATGGGACGTAGGGTAGTCAGAAGGGAGCAGGAAGGTGCTCAAAGATGCAAGGTAAATTAATTTTCATGTCTCTGGAATTTCATACAGAGAAGACTTAAGTCTTCAAACTTGTCAGCATGTGGCATAATGAACTAAAATGTGACAAATTGCTAGACTGTAGAACACCTGGTCTTCCTGTGCTGTGCTGCAATTAACATGATTATGTTTTTTAAGGTACGTAAGCTTATTATAAAAGATGCTTTCTTACTTTATGGACTGAGAAATTTTTAAAAAGGAGACTAGCAAAAACTTGAAAAATTTCGCTACATGCATTGCCTGCCCCTGCACCTGTGTGATTTGTCAGCATCTTTAAAACCTTATTGTAGGTTTTACTATGCTGAATGTAAGGGGGAGCGGCAGAAGATTAGGACTAAGAGGGATGACCACACAAATTTAACCAGTGTGTTAAGAAACCAACTGACAGATGGTGGCTGGATTTCAGCATGGTGTACTATTTAGTATCTGATATTGGTGTGAACAGAGTGGTCCAGTTCTGTGGTTTTCAGGCCTCTGTGCCAGGATTTGGTCCTTCATCAAAGTAAATTCTAATCCCAGCTTTGCAAAGTTACTAATAAGTCATTCCTGTATTAAAATGGAAGAAACCAGGCAGTTGTTCGGAGAGAGTAGGTGAGGTTTAGTCAAGGCTCTGAAATATATGGAAGCGTAATCAAAAAGTCAGAAGATAATAAATCTGGTAGATAATTTGAGAATTCTGCTCTAAATGAAGAGTTTGTAGCACTCTTCCCCACTCTCCAGACTGCTAGTTTACCTAAATATACCCCACAGTCCCCTTGTTTTTAATTCAGTGCACATCCACTGATACAGTGGATCAGTCAGCTTGATTTATCTGAAAGGCCCTCAAAGTCTGCTACGTTTGAATTCTGCATTCAGAAGTGATCTTGGTTTATGTTCTGCGCACAAACTCATGGCAAAACCTGGAATGAGAATCCTTTTTTCCCTTTACCTTCTGTGTGTGTTCTCCGAAAAGTATTTCAGCCTTTCTGTGGAGATTTACTGCTGGCTTGATAGATGTTACTCCACTAAAAATCCTGCAGAGAAAATAGGCTGCTTAATGCCCCTGTCAGGTTTGCATTTCAGTCTGTCAGGCTGTTGCCCACTTTCTCTATTGCTTTCTTGCCTGGCATATCTGTGCACTGAGATTCTCGTAAGCTCTATTGATTGATTCTGCAGAAAAGCAGTAGTCTTTTTGATTTTTTTATATTATATAAAATTATTTATATA